GATGGCGGGGAAGAAGAACGAACTGGGGAGGAGGGTAGAGAAAACAGTGCAACAATGAATGAATGAGAACCCAAAATCTCTGTAAATGTTCACTAAAACTAATAAAATTTAATAATAATTTAAAAAACAAACAAACAAACAAAAAACTCTTCACTAGGTGGCATCTCCAGGAGATCAGACAAAGGTGAGGACAGAAGTGCGTTTTCTGGGCCAGGGGTTAGAGGACAATGGTAACTCACGCAACACAAATGTCATGTCCAATACAGAAAGCGGTCTCCCTGAGATGATTCCTACAGTGGAAAAGTGCAATGACCTGTGAACTTGAGTCCCCAGGAGCAACAACTACCCACTTGGTTGAGAGAAATGCAACCCACTCTATAGAGAAAACGGGCTTCAAAAGATAATGGTTACAGGGCACATCACAAGGTGGGTTCTTGTGCAAAGAAAAAAGCATGCCAGGGGTGTGGAATTCTGTATATCTGAGTGCAACGAATACCAGGATTAGGTGAGTTTTAGTCAACGTTTCATTTCCATTCCTCAGCTGACATACCAAAGCCAAGTTTGCAAGTCAAATTATTTTGTGCTTTAAAAGGATTTAAAAAAATATACAAAGTCATTTTTTTTACCTATGGAGTCTAGGTTTTCCAAAGTTTCCAACATCATATCCATGTAGAGTTTCTTCTGGGGAAGAGACAGCAGAGGCCACTCTTCCTGGGTAAAGACCACCATCAGATCCTCAAGGAGCAACGTTCCCTAAAACACCCAACACGTTCGGAATCAGCACAAAAGCATTATCACAGACGGAAATAGGTTGTAAATAATAATGAACATTTACAATCTCCCACGTCCTGGAATAACCTGTAATCGCGAACAGCAAAAGAAATAGAGAAGCAGTTTTGCTTAGATGATCACACTGCAGGGGGGGAGAAAATGAAGCAAGAAGCAGAACAAGCCAACCAGTGTCTCAATGACAAACTGGCTCCTAGACAAGAAGCTGTTGTTACGATCGTCACAAAGATGATAAGATCCTTCCAATCAGTTTTGACTCCTCCTCAAGCAGCGACCCGACTCCGTCTCACCTACGTGTCACTGCAAAGATTCAAGTCACAGAAGCCAAGCCCTAAATGATGGCAGAAAATCCGGATGCAGAGTGTTCCGGCGGCACCTGTTTATTCCTACATCAAGCCATCAGATAAAAAGAAAAAAGGGACCACTCCTTATTCTAGAACAGCTAGGAAAAATCAAAGATGACAGCTGTTAATTCTTGGAGCAGCAAGAACACATTGGTCTTCAAAAATCCTCTGCTTAGGTCCTTTGTACATAGGAATTGGATCTTCAGCAGAGCACAATCAGTGTTACAGTTTGGTAACTGTATTTTTAAATTTTTTTTTTAATGAATGTTTCTTCCTTGCAGTAAGTGCATAATAGAGCATCATTCAGAATCAATAGCATTGTATCCAAAACTATGATCTAAACACTGGGATGCTTTAGTTTGGCTGGCTTGTTTGGCTTTGTAACTCCTGAAACATTGTATACTATATATGTCAGAGGGAAAAGAAACACAATGTTGTTATTTGACTCAGGAAACTATTTACTCACGTCTTTCTTTAAAAAAGAAAAGTCATTAAAAAAAAGAATTGTTAGTGATAGGGAATGGCAAAGGACACACTGACAAAGGAGATTAATCAGAACTGGCTTTGACAAGCACTGTGGCAACTGCACAATTAAAACAGACTTTCAAGGGGGAGAAAAAAAGAAGAACTAACTTGGGAGGAGGATTAGAGAAAATAGTGCAGCAATGAATGAATGAAAACCCCAAATCTCTGTAAATGTTCATTAAAATTAATAAAATGTAATAAAAATATATAAAATAAATAAGTATGCACACTAGCAACTTAAAAAAATGTTAAGAAGATCAAAAAAGGAAAAAAATAAATTAAAAAGAGTTGTTAAGAATATCTATCCTCATATAAGGACATAAAAACTCTCCATCCACTAGGATTGCTATAAAATTTACAAAGAAGGGTTTTACCATGAGAAAACCAAACCGTAAAATCTTCTCATCAATAAAGCACCAAAAAACCCACTTAATTGGTCTAGAAGAGCTTTTGGGAAAAAAGTCACCACCCTTTCTTGAAGAGCATTCTTAAAAATGCACGGTGATATCATTAAATCCAGGGCAGGAGATCAAGAAAGGACCTCCTTCTTAAGGAGGAATGTGGACCTCTCTCTCAGAGGTGTTCATGATAATTCAAAAGCGAAGGAAATTCCAGGAGCACGCAGTCCAATTTTATATTCTAGACGAACTCTGCTTAGCTGTGGCTGGATGGAACGCGCACAATAAATCGCCTCTTTTTGCTGTCCTAGCCAAAGAATGGGGAGGGGGAATCTCAAAAATTGGATGAAAGAAATCATTCCTTAATATTATAAAAGCACGGACAGAAAAGCCACAGTGAATAAATTCTAAATGAACAGAGATGAAAGGCCTTCTTTCGTGAACGAGAACCAGATAACACTGTTGGTTTTGACTGCTCCAATTGAATACTGTATTACAAGCCCCACACACAGCCATAAGGAACTAAAAGCCACTGAAATTCTCAAAGACGTGACAACTGTCTATTTCTGTTCAGATGCCCTAATCCCACAGACAGAAAAAAAGCAAAGACTCACCAAGAAAATAAAAAATTTGACTGGTTCTACTATTTCAGATGCGTCACAGGTATCTAAACGTTGAGTAAATGGATAAGAAGGAAGACAGAAGAAGAATGAATGTCTTTGAACTGTGGTGCTGAAAACGTGTAGTGAAAATGTCCCAGAATGCCAAAAGATGCAAGTTAAGTCTCTCTTGGAAGAAGTGTCCCCTTGGAGGCAAGATGGTGCAACTTACTTTGATATATTTTTTTGGGTATGCTATCAGCAGGGAGCACGTCTTCCCCCCACAAAAAAAACACATCCTGAACTTGACCTTAGGGCAAGCTGCATGACAGGGCAAAGTTCCCATCCGGTTTAGACCACAGTCTACGCCACAGCACAGAAAATGAAAAGCTGACCATTTGAGGGACACCTGGCAAGACAAGCATAGTCCCACGGATCCAGAAGGCTCAGCCTCTTCAGAGAACTGAGTCCGGCCAGGGACACGCCAGGGCAAGAAGACAGACTTTCTCCTTTACAGTGACTGGAAGCTGCGGCATTGGCAGCCACGAGCTGGTTCCCACCTGGAGGCAAATGAGGAGAGCTGAGCAGGTGCGGCTGCAGGGAGAATAAGGACTAGCACTCATGTTGTTATTAAGAGGTCATTCGGGTGACTTACAACTCCCAGCGACCCAAGGAAAACCACATGTGGACCTTGTCTGTCCTCTGCATCTTCTCCAATACGCTGGAATCCACTGGTCAATTCACTGTGTCATTTCATCTTCTGTAAGGTCTTCTTTCTTTTACAAATCTTCCACCAGCATCATGTCTTCTTCCAAGCACTGACCCCTCCGCACCACATCCTCAAAGTGTGCGAGATGAAATCTCACCATAGCTGCCTCGAAGGTGTATTCTGTTGACTTTTGTCCGAGCTGTGTGTGTGTGTCCGTGGTGGGACAGTCTGTAGGCATCTCCAATATCACAACTCCAAGGGCCCCAAGGATGTGACAGGGAGCTACAGAATCCTAGTCTCCTAGGAGAACAAACGGGTTTCAGCCTCTCCAAGACAGACCTGAATTATGTTCTGGGCGGTCCATGACATGTTCCAAACTCTTCTCCAGCACCACACCCCAAAGGCATCAATTCTTTTTTTCCTTCTTCTTCTTTAGTCACTATCCAGCTCTCTGATGCATAGCAAGTAACTGCAAAGACCACGGCTTGGATACGGTGCACCTTAAGTCTCTAGACGGACACTGCTACTTGCCATCTGGGACAGCAGATGTACCTACTACAATCTCTGATTTCCTAACTGCTGGGGGCCAAGGGTGTCGAATAATTAGCAGGATTCTAAATGGAGTAAATCGAAAGGAAGGAGAGATGTTGGCATCTTTCTACCACAGACTACTGCTGACTTTGAACCACATGCCCGGTTAGGTGACAATACCAAGGTCCGCCAGGATGGGGTGATCACGACGCCAGGTCTGTGGGTGAATAAGAACCGTGATCCCAGCCATGCCCACCTTGAAAATTCACACAGAGAAGGGGTAGAGGGCCAGGGCTGCAGGAAATGAGGGAACCTCTTAGACACGGTTCTGAAGCAGGTCCCTGCCTCCCCATAGCTTCAACGCCACGCCTCCCCACTTTGGGTTGGAAAGATCTTTAGAACTCACCATCTCCTCGCTCCACCTTCTACAGATCGAAGAGAAATAGGAAGTTGTCTCCAATCGTGAGAATTCCCTTCAGGAAGAGCGTTCCGAGGAACGGAACAGCACTGGACGATGGGCAGGTAGTTAGACACTACTTGGTCCACACTTGCTTCACGGTGCTGGAAGGGCTGTAAATGCTTGGCCTGGACAGACAGACCAAGATGGTCCGCCTGGATGCCCAGCGGCCTGGACTGGATGCGTTCTGCTGGGCCACACCGAAGGCCTGAAAGAGACAATTACAGGTGGAATACGGCTGAGTGAGCAGGGACACAAAGATCTTTCTTTGGTTTCCTTTCCGCTGCCTGTGACCATGTACATTTGAGCTGCTTCACCCAAAGGCCTTGGCTTTGGGAGAGAGGGTGGGTGACGGGTGGTTAATTCCTTTAGCAACGCTGAAGGCAAAACAGACACACTGTCCTCTTGTGTGATTCAAGTCCTGGAAATACAAGGAAGGAAAGGCCAGCGATGAGTCTGTTCTGAGTCAGGGGCAAGAATTCCTTCCAAAAAAAGCTAATCTGTTAATTTGTCACTGACTGGATTTGCAATTGAGGTTGAACCGGTTTGAGCCTCCCAGAGTGCCACACCCGCCTCGCTGTCCTCTCTGGCCACGACGCCTGTGTGACAAAATGGGTCGTCCGTGCCTGTACGGGGTCTCTGACCTCAAGGATAGCATAAGAGGGAATCTTGCAAGCCCTGTGCTTGTGAGTGGGCTGATGCCTGGATATTTGTTACAGATGGGTCTTCGTAATCCCGGGAAAACCTCTGGAAATTAAGTTGCTTCTAGGATAAGAATGGGAGTTTCTGGGGAAAAATCAGGGGAACTCCACCAGACCTGGGATAAAGATTTAACTAAAGTCCTTAATCAGGAACCATTTGATGTTCCTGGAAATGATAACATACAAGATGAAAATATAAAAGAAATTGAGATTGTTCTTAAAAGTATAATTTTGATTATGATCTTTGAGTATGTATCTAATTCTTCTTTTGTGATACTTGCAACTCATATTTAGTAATGTAATTGTATATTAGGAGAAAGTTTAGACTAGTTTCAACAGCAGAAAGTCATAGTTAATGAGAATAAAACAGAGAGGTTTAAGAAAAGACTCAAAAGACAAACTTCTCTAAAAGTAAAGGTCTCTTCAAGAAATAGGAAATATTACCAGATAAATAACAGGTGGTGGGAAGAAAGTACTTATAAAGGACCATATGTCCTGCCAACTCCAACACCAGTACCTCTTCCTTATACAGACGTTTTGTATTCCAAGGAAAAAGAATTGAATATTACAAGTTAACTTGGCAAAAACAAGTTAAAGGAAGTCGTACGCCCTAGTGCACATTGCCAAACAGAAACAAATTAAAATCTTATGAAACAAGTTGCAAAAGCTATTGATAAACATAGGAATGGTCCAGAGTGTAGGAAAACAGATGTTAAGATTTGTTAGGTACAGTACAAATATGAGTACAAAGGCAAAAACAAAGGTGGCTAAAATACAGTGACGCAAAGTAGGAGAGGAAAGGAAGTGAAATGTAAACCATTAACCATTGTCTAGCAGATGACCAACATAAGGTCACTGTGTTTCTTGTTCAAAGAATGTTTAATAGCTGATGCTATTATTTAGTAATAGAAAATACTTTCTTTTTGTTTTTTCTAGTTAAAATCTTATGTGAGCTTTGTAATCACAAAATGTTGGCTATAAGTCAAGTTTAAACAAGTTTAAATGTGTAAAAAGCAAGCTTTTAGCATAATAAATCAGAGCTCTCTACATCATCCTGGTGTGCAGACTCTCATTTTCGCCGACTTCGTCCCTCACCTGCTCTTCACCAAGAAACCCCTTGAGTTTCTTGTCACGACCGTGGTCGGGTGGTTGGTGACACCAGAGCTCAGGTGCATTTGGCACACAGCTCCGGGACAGGCTTGTTCTAACGACAGAGAGGGGGAGGGACAGGCTGCTTCTAACAACAGAGGGACAGAGAGATGGAGAAGCTTATGCCACAGAGACTGGGGAATCGCTTTTCCCTGGACAGCCTGCTCAATGCTTTCCTGCAGTTTAGTTCTCAGTAATACCAATGGAACAAAAAAAAAATATATATATTCATCTACTTGTGTAAGAAACAATACAGCCCATCCTCCCTGCTCTGCTATACAACGTGTTCTTTCTGAAAAGTGTTAACAGAGACAAAGAGGGCTATGTTGTTACTACGCATTGCCGTCAAGTACAACGCATAGGAACTCTATAAAGGTCTGAAGCCTTCCTACAACTACTGTTTACCATTTAGGTTATCGTTCATCAAAGTTGGCAAGAGTTTCCAGAGAAGTGGACGCCATTCCTGCTTCTAAAATGAAGCACGTACAACACTGGTGGCCTAGTGGCAGTCAGAGGCTTTGCTGTAATCCCAAAAGTCAGCAGTTCAAATCCACTAGGTGCTCTGCTGGAGAAGAAGGGGCAATCTGTTCATATACCGGTTGGAGACACACACACACGCTCACACACAATAAGAAAATAAAAAATAAAAGATAAATAAAAAAATGAGGGATGAAGTACACAGTGCCACCAATTGTGCTATTTGGATGCTGGGATTTGAACAACAATTTATCTACTCAAGACTCATCCTTATAAGACGTTGGACGGCTTCTGGCAGCTAAATCTGTGGATACAGTCCATGTCAGAAAAGTGAATGTGGAAATGAGAGCCTGTGTAATACAATTAATAAAAATTAAAAAAAAAAAGACTATCAACAGATCTCTGCTGGAATCTTCCTGTCCCAGTCAGATCCAACTGGATGGCGTGCACACACACACACACACACACACACACACACACATTCTGAAGGGGATGACAGACTTATTGAGAACAATGCCGCTGAAAAGTCATTTCTTTTATAATAATTATAAGAAAGCGTAAGAATCCCTGAGTGAGAAAAGGCTGTGGAAAGGACGCAAGTCCTGGATGGTTGCAGGTCTAGGTCCACATGCATGTGAGTCTGAAGACAGACTTGTTTGATACCCAATGAATCAAGACACAGAAGCCACAGGGTTACAGGTGAGGTCTTTGATTAGCTGTGTAGCGGGGGTCCCAGGTACAAGGCAGGATCACGGACTTTTGCTGTGGTCAGGAGGTTTTTATATTTTCACTTGTCCCACAGATTCTCACCACTGGACCAATTGGCAGCGTCAGGATGGATGGTGAAGAGATTGAGATTGTTCACAGCTTCCGTTTGCTCGGCTCCACAGTCAACACTCTTGGCACCAGCAGTCAGGAAATAAAAAAGCATATCGCGATGGGAAAGTCTGCTGTTAGGGACCTCTCTAAAGTACTCAGGAGCAACGGTGTCTCTCTGGAGACTAAGGTGCGCCTGATACAGGCCATGGTCTTTGCAATCACTTGTTATGCATCAGAGAGTTGGACAATGACTAGGGAGGACAGAAGGAGAGTGGATGCTTTTGAGCTGTGGTACTGGAGAAGGGTACTGAATGTACCATGGACTGCCAGGAAAACAAACAGATTCATCTTGGAGAGGATTAAACCAGGCTGCTCCTTGGAGGCAAGGATTCTGGGGCTTCATCTGACATACTTTGGACACGTTGCAAGGAGGGACGGGTCCCTGGAGAGGGACATCATGATTGGGAGGGTGAAGGGACGGCGCAGGAGAGGAAGGCCCTCTATGAGGTGGATTGATTCGGTGACTGGGGTAATCGGGATGGGTGTGTCAGAGGCGGTGCGGTTGGCGCAGGATAGAGCAGGGTTTAGGGCTGTTGTGCATAGGGTCGCTATGAGTCGCAAACGACTCGACGGCACATAACAACAACAAGAACAACAACAACAACCCAGGTGCTGGGCCACTTGCTCAAGCAGTGTACTGCTGAAAACTTTCAAAGGTACAGAGATACACAGATAGCATTTTGCTGTGGACACACTTCAAGGACAGAGTCCCACACATCTACATTCTGGCGCACAGACAACAGCAGTTACTGTGCTGGGACGCCGTGCAAGACCAAAACCTTCAGGCCAAAACTTTGCACATAGGGGTTTAGTTATAAAACAGAATCTGTTTGGCCTGTCAGACCTAGGCAGGGGTTTGCTTCAGAAAAGGTCACACAGGACTGAAAATTCGGTGGAACAAATGTCGAGATTTAAATTTCAGAATTCTGCTGGAGAATCTGGAAGAACATCATTCTCCTATCTTGTGACTTTTGAAAATAAACGAGTTGGGGGAAACTTCCTTGGAGAGGGGACATGATGCTGGGAAGGGTGGAGGGTCTGCAAAGAAGAGGAAGACGTTCGACCAGGTGGACTGAGCATGGTGACTGCCGCAGTGGGCTCTTGTGTGTCAGGAAGTGTGAGGATAAACAGGCTTCAGATCTTTAGCTCAGAGGGTCCCTAGGAATCGCACTCGACTCAACAGCACCTAACAGAACATCCTGGGAGACACAATTATGTGACTTCCTTTGTTCCCCCTAATAATCCTATTTTATTTTTCTTTTTATAATAACAATTAAAAAAAGGATCTACCCTCGCTTTTTAAGAAAATGCATGCATCTGCACACTGCAGTTGCTGGAGAGGGACTTTCTTTCAGTGAGTTCAGGGAGTGCTGAGCAAAGTTGGTTGCAAGGAGTTGATGTGTGAACCCAAGTGTTGCCTCTCTGCTTTTGCTAATCCACTAGATAGTTCATAAAAAGGGACTATCTTCTCTCCGGGGACTGAATCCCGCTGAGAATGTGCTTCAGGGTGAGCGGAGAGTCGGTGGTGAGTGGACAGGAGGGAGAGAGATTATGTGAGCAACTAAACTGTTGTCGCTGTCATACGCCAGTAAGTAGGAACACACTTCACATCTGACCTTCACTCCGGGTTTCAAAGAGTGGAGTGAAACTGCCTATCTTCTTCTCTGAAGCAGTGTGCTAGGAATTCTTTGAAATATCCACATCCCTTTCCCTACTTTTCCCCCTCTGCTTTCCAACATACAAAGCAACCATTTTTAAAATGACTAATAGCCTTTCACAAAAACGTACCAAGAGTCAAAAGAAACCCAGAAAGAGATGCTGTGTGAAATCACCATTATGTCCCCTTTTTGCTGTTACAAACGCGACTGACTCAGAGTGCACCTTCCATGCGACTTCAAAAACCAAGAACAGCATAAGAAACTCCCATCCTGCTAAGAAGCACCTGGTGGATTCCAACCAGCAGAAGAGAGAGTCTTTCCTTATCAATACTGATGAGTCAAAA